ATGAATCATCTCTTCAATATATCTTTCAAGAAAAAATTACAAATCTTATTATTGCAAATAAAGACAGATGCAGTAGGATGGTATCATTGGAATATTATAGTAGAAATGTATATGAACATATCTTGAAATTCTTCAAAAAATTAAAACATTTGAGTTTTATTGAAACATTCAATCGTTTCTATCCACCTTTATCACTATGTCATTCACCATCAACTATTTTTTTCTCTTCAACTCTTACTCATTTATGTATCAAAGTATGCACATTAGATGATTGTCTTTATTTACTTGATGGTCGACTTAAACAATTAACTACATTAATTATTCGAATATGTGACATAAACAAGTCTTCATCAATCATTCACAATATGGTAAGTTTTAATAAAGAATGTCAATCGTGAAATAAAGTTGACTACCAATTCTATATACTTTTATATTTATAAATATTCTTTTTTATTGTATAGGATGATTTACCTAATTTGAAATGTTTTTCATTGAAATGTTATCGTAAAATTAATAAATATGATGAGAAAATTCTACCTCTTCTTCATCGAATGATATATCTGGAAAAATTAACTTTATATCTTCTTATACAAAATCGAGGTAGATTTATCGATAATTCTCATTTTCAAAATGAAATTCTTCTTTATATGCCACGTCTTCATTCATTTACTTTTTATATTAGTACTCATGATGATACTGATGATTTATTTCGTTATGTACCTAATCAAGATATTCAACGAATTGCTATAAATAATGGACATCAACAATGTATGGCTAATATCATAAAATACAATAGTAGTTGTCAAGCTGTATGTTCTATCTTCTCACTTCCTTTTGTATTTGATTATCTTCAAGATATTGGTAACATATTTCCAGATACTGTATTCAAATATGTTACGATATTGTGGGTAGTAGATGTAATGCCATTCAATCATGAATTCTTTATTCGGATTTCTCGATCTTTTCCATCACTGGATCAACTTCATGTTACAAGTTCTAAATTACAGTTGTCGTGTAATATGAACGCATTTTCATCTGACGATAGTCAATCATATTCAATCGCCAAATATCCTCATCTTACTTTACTTGACGTGATAAAAGCAAATATTGACAATGTTGAAGAATTTCTAAATGAAACAAAAGCGTATGTACCATGTCTAACTACATTAATAATTGATTGTAATGATTTGAAAATTGTCACAAAAAACTTTACAAGAGAAGAAACACGACGCAATTGTACGAAGATAAATAAAATTATGTCCAACATGTTGCTACCGAAGAAAGATTTGTATTATTACTTTCCTTCGTTGTAAATTAAATTTTGTTTAATAAATTGGAAAGTATACATGTTATATTTCGATGTACGACATAAGTAAGATATAAAGAAATGTCGACTATTAGTGATGTTATACTAATAGTTAATCTTACGATGATGATACTTACAAAGAGGTTTATAGAAAACATTCTGTAAAGAGTTCTAAGAATCAAATCTTTATGTTTCGTTCGTATCTTTACATATCTTAAAATAAAGTTTTAGGCAAATTAGAGGAGCTTCCTCCTCCCCTTTAGATAAATGAAATAAAAGACAGTTTAAAAGATCTTTGTCTGAAAATCGATATTTGTAGCTCTATTGACCAGTGGTAGTCGGATTAAGAATTCGTTCTAAAAAATAGTTTTCAGTTTCGATACTATAGGGATGGCATTGAATGTTCAAGATATATTGAAGGTATAATAAAGAGATGATAGTAAGATCTTTTACTCAATATTATGAAGCATTTATAGAATATTCGTCGAATGAATTTATATAATCGACTAATTTCTAACTGAATTTTCTTCGACTTGTCATCGTAACAGAGGTGAGCACAGGACAAGACACTAAGCAGGACAAACATGATTAGTCATTTTTTTTTAACAGATACCATTATTATATGCCATGGACAGGTAGAATTAACAACAGAAAAAGTAGTAGAATAATGAGTGAGTCAACAATGTAAGTGTTTCAAATGAAATAGTATTATACACAGAAAATAAAACACATTCTCTTTAAAAAAGCCTTTTATACTTTTACATGTATTACACTAGTAAAATATTATCTAATTGCTCAGAATTGAAGTGAGTTCGTCTTTTTGTGTAAATAATTTCTCTTCACAAAAATTGTCGTTCGACTCCTGACTAGAGCCATCTCGGTCCAATGTTGTCAGACTCAATTTCATCCGTGAACAGCAGTCTTAATACTTTCAATGAAGTTTTTATCAGTGGCGGATCCAGGAAATTTTGAAGGAGGGGGCGGATGAAATCAAGTTATGGACTTTATTCGTGATGATTTTCCTAACATTTTCTATTTATCATTGCAAGTCCATTTAAACGATTTTCACTCATGGTACTTCGAAGATATGTTTTTACCAGTTTTAATGTTGAAAAGCTTCGCTCGCCTGTGGCAGTTGTCACTGGCAACGTGGCATAAATTTGTAAAAGAACTTTGATATTCGGAAAGAAGGTACCGTTGCATCGAACATAAGCATCAATAGCATTGTCCGGGCGATCTTCTGGTGCCTCATTGAGTCATTTTCGTTTGTATAATTGGAATTCTCCTTTAATTAAATTTGGTGATGGTAAATAAGCTTCGTAAAAAGTAATAGAGTCTTTCAAATCATTGAAAGACTTATGTTCAATCATTGATGGAACAAGGATCGACACATGATAAGCCATCCATTGATGAGCACTAAATCGGTTAGTTAAAGATACAATGAAATGATCCATAATAGGGATAAATAAGTTGACTCGATAATATTCTTCCGGTGTTTGTGCTGGTGCAGTTGGCCGATACATTTGTCGACCAACTCCTCGCATTACCGTCAATTGAGTACCTGAAAGAAATTTGAAATCACAACACTGAAGTTAAGCTCGTATTTCTGACGTCTTGTTAGATCTGGTCAATTTAATGGAGAACTTGGTGAATTCAATTCAGAATTCAATTGAATTGATCGATTGTTGAATTGCATTGGCAATTACTGTTTCTTCGTATAAGATTAAACCAATTATATATACTGTTTTATTTCTCGAACGTTTGATGGTTTCATGCGAACAGTTCTCCTACCTGAGAATTCACACAACTGTTTGACTTCAGAAAGTATTTCACCATATTCTTCATTCAATTTTTCATTTCTCATTTGTTTGAACATGAACAAGACGTCGTCTACTAAACGCTTGCAATCCATAATGTCATTGTCTGGTGCTTGTAATCCAGCAGCGATAGGCAAAGTCATAGATAAACATTGTTTTAATATGCATAATGAAATAATAAAACAAGAACTTTGAATATTTTTTAAATAGTTAAATGCTGATGTTTGATTTTTACCTGTTTCTTCTTCGACAATTTTTTCAAAACAAGTCAAAATGAACGGGTACAATTGTCGAAATGTAATCACAGCATCATGCCTTTCCACCCATCTTGTATCACAAGCACTTGCTAATTTTTTTTTATTTGAATTGTTTATTATATGTTTGAGATATAATGTTCGTTTCGACGATGAATTGAAATAATTGTAGATTTCCTTTATAGAACCAATGCAATTTTGAATAATAATAATAAAACACGAGTCTGATATTGCCAAGTTAAGACTATGTGGTGCACACTGAAGATAAAGTGCTGTTGAAAATAATTTTTGAATATATGCATGACAACCTAAAAAATAAAACAAGAAGACATCAGAGTTAGATGTAAAGGTTAAAAAACAGTAAATTAAAATAAATTGTCAGAGGAAAGCTTACCCTTAAATTTTCCAGACATTGGGGAACATCCATCATACGCCTGGCCTACCATGAAATTCGGATTAAGACCAAGATTTTTTATTTCTTCAAGAATCAGCCGGGCTAAACCTTCACCAGTTCGATCTTCAGCTGGTAAAAAACTAATAAATTTTTCATGAACTTTATTTTCAAATAAGTAACGAAGACAAAATGTAAATTGTTCGATAGTGTTAACATCAGTAGTTTCATCGCCGATTATAGTGAAGAATGTAGCATGCTTTACTTCAGCAAGTATTTGTTCTCGAATTAAGTCACCATAAATTTCGATTAATTCGTTCTGTGTTGTCTTCGAGATATATGTGGCAGTTTTGCTAGCTGTTGATAGATGGTTTGCTAACATTGAATCACCAGCATCAATTCGATAGCGAAGTAATGAACGAATATAACCTAGAATTAATATTCATATTAAAAACACTAGAATGTTTACTTTACCTTCATCACTAACAATAGAATCGACATTTAAGTTACCATCATCTCTGTGTCCTCGTAATGGAATATTGTTCTGACCACAGAGTATAATTGTTTTAATAATAGGTACTAAACGTTTTCGGTTTTCAATTTTTTCTTGCTACTGTTTGTTCACTAATAAATCATCGACGCTGTCGCGCTTGTTTTCACATACAGAAATAAATCGTTCAGCATCCAAGATGCTATCATTGTGATAATTTTTTAACTTGTGTCTAGTTATTTGTCCATCGGCGCCTAATAACTTACCATCTTGTTGACATGGAGAAAGAACAAAAGAACCCAAGTAATTATTACCAGCTGCTTCGGCAAATAAAACACAAGGTACACAGAAAAGACCACTCTTCGACGGTGAGTAAACGAGCCATGGTTTGTTGTCATCTAAGTGATTTGGACGTAAAAATCGATTTTCGATAGTATTGTTTGTCTTGCATTGAACAAAAGGCCACTTGAATTTTTCATCAGGAACAAAATGTTGTCTCAATAATAAGTGGCGCTAGTACATTTCGTCGCACGACACTTCGTCGCGTTCACTTCGTCGCGATCATTTCGTCGCACGATCACTTCGTCGCATAACACTTCGTCGTACGACATTTTGTCGCAGAACATTTTCTTTTTCGTTCTGTATGTCGCAGAACAATTTCTTTCGTTCTGCTCGTTGCAGAACAATTTTTTCTTTCGTTCTGCTTCTTGTATTTCTGTTAATTAGTCCTGTTTTTTTTGATAACTAGTCAAAATAAAATAAAGTAAATGAAAAACTCTGAAATATGGGTACAACACGGACAGACAATTGATTGCTCTAAAACGTATGACTTGAATTCGGAAAATAGATCGATGAAAGGTCTAAACCAAATGTAATTCTGAGACAGTTGAAGTCAGCAAAAAATAATTATATTTGTCATTATGTTAATGAATTTGAACATTGACTAGATCAACGATAACATTGCCAGGACGCGATGGATCTGACTATCGGATAGCATCAGATCTTATCGGAGTCTTTAGTATTGAATTCTATTGGAATTCTTGGAATACGACGAGTTGACTTTGACCTTGGTACTTATTCAACGCTCTCCAAATTAGTTCTTTAGATTATTTTTCCCTTTAGATTAGTTTTCTTCTTCTATCTTTGGTTTTTCTTTTTTCTTGCTTTTTCGTTTCACTTTGTTGATGGTTCTGTTATGCATGATACATAAAATGAAGATGAGTTAAATTGATCAATTTGATGTTTTTAAAAAAGATAATTAAGAGGAATGGAATGAACAGAACGAAATGATCGCGACGAAGTGAACGCGACGAAGTGTCGTGCGACGAAATGATCGCGACGAAGTGAACGCGACGAAGTGTCGTGCGACGAAATGATCGCGACGAAGTGAACGCGACGAAGTGTCGTGCGACGAAGTGAGCGGTCACCTAATAAGTATCGTAATTCATTCGATAAGTTTAATCGATTATGTATATAATTTCCAATATCATTTTTCAATTCCATCGAATCTAAACTTGATGTGGCTTCTGGTAATGTTGCTTCTGATTGTTTATTTGGAGATAAATGATTGTTGATCGAAGAAACAAGAATCGAATCAGAAGTACCAACTGAAATATTTGTTGCTACTTCATTTGTATCAATATTACTGTTTATGTTTCCATTCAAAACTGTTACTGTCGCTTTTTCACCTGCACGACTGGTGAAGGTGAAGCCGAATGAAGACAGATCTTTAAATTTTTTCATTGACATCACTTCATTAGATTTAAAACAATGAATTACAACTTTTCACATAAAATTAATAATCATTAAGACAATGAGTTCAAATGGACCAATGTCATAATCATTGATTGTTTCAATGTGAGAGACAATGAACTCAAATGAGCTAAAGACATAACCGTCGATGATCATTGTTATTCCACAAATGCTTATCATCCGTATGACATGAATAGACGTCTCATTATAAAAGAAAAAAATTTTTGATAAGAGAAATAAACGTATTAACAGCATGTATATCTAAGTTACTGTATTTCTCTCGAATCTAATTTCAGAATACAAGCACTGTAAACTCAAAAATACTGTGAAATGCACTCTTGTCTCTGTAACTCGCATAAAAAATAAAAAATAATTAGCACGTAACATAAATTTCCAAGGAGGAGGCGGGCGCCCCGACTGCACCACTGTAGATCCGCTCCTGGTGCTAGACATCTATATCCTTGTTGCAGAAAATGCTCGATTTGGTGACGTCAACAGTGAACCGACGAGGGAAAACCATGAAGAAACAAAATAGTCGCATTTGAACTATTATTGTTGCCGCTCGCTTGGACATGAATATACTCATAGTTAATACCACTAGCAACTTCGTAATTATGTGTTTCCAACATTGAGCGAGACTGTTGTTGATTATTAGTGACATTATCAAGAGTATCAAGTGGAGATACGACAAGCCTGGAGTGTATGATGACAACAAAAAGAGATAATATGTAGAAGAGACAATGTTTTACAGTACTCATTCTGTTCGTGCTTGCTTATGTTGTGTCGATGAAAAGTGTACATATCTTTTTATTTTTTCTGTCCCTTGCATCCTCTATTTGCTCAGCTATTCTTTGTGTTATTCTGTCAATCTCATATTACTGTTGGATTAGTATATTTTACATACTGATGTGACCCTTGCCACATGTGTTTTTTTCTTTCTATATACAAGGTTTAGTCTACTGATATAGTTGAGAGAATGGGAATGAAAGGCTTAACGGTATCCTGAGAATTGGAGATATCCCTGCTTCTCTCACCCCCACAATATGCTTTCATTAATAGTTCAACATTCGCTCGGATATTTCAAAAGAATCAGTAAGCGATATCCGACAGAAATCTGTCTTTTCATGCAGAAATCGCTCATCTTCTTGCATTTTTCTCGTCCAAGCAGATATACTGATTATCCGCACCCATACCCACTCAATAGACTTTGCCATTCCAACCAAAAGGATAGTTGACCCAATGTCGTAGCCCGTGTGAATGTGGATGTGGACGAAGCAAGAACTCACATCTACAGTCGTGTTTGACATACTCCAGCGCTACTAGTTAGGTTTTGATACGAGACAAAAAATGATACGTTTTTAAAGCAACTCTTTCTCTCTATTATTCAATGTGCTTTGAGTATGAAAATGCCACAGTTCAAAGAAGAATACGATAGTAAGTGTTGAGTACAATCAAGATGAGAGTGAGGAGAGCAAGGAATATGATAGAACTCTCAGCAGGAACGCTTGAAAAACGAAATCAATGAGGTGTTAAACGGTGAAAAAACGATTTAAATGCTGCTCACTGTTTTTCATGTGAGCGGCTTAAAACAGTATAGTTAATGTGAAGGCTAAAAAAGGATCCGTAAAACGGAATCATGTATTACGACCCATAAATTACTATGAACAATCATCGTTTTTCGTCGTTTAAAGCAGTAATAATGACTGTTTTTCTGTTAACTTCAATATATGACGTGGGACACTTTTATGCATGATTAAGACGAGTGGGTTTTATTTTGTACGCACAAATCGCCATCTAAACGCGTGCTTATGCATGATTAACTTCTTCTGCATAAATAAAGTTGTGTATGCATTAAACATATATAGTATAACTGTGCATGAGCAACTGTACATGATTGCCATCTCCATGTGTAACGCTCATGATATATACATGCATAGGATGGCATATTGGAGTCTGGTGGATTATATTTTCTAAAGCAATTGTTCCTGTTGAGTTAATGATTTTAAACAGTATAGCAACAAGATATCAGACTAATGATGCACCGATGGCCTGTATTTGTGACACCTGGTGAATGAGTAAATAGCTGCAGGGCGCATTTTCAAAGTTGATGGACAAATGACGGCTTTTTCCGCAGAAATCTGTGTTGTTTTATTACGTTTAATGCACAATTAAACGCGCTGTGTATGCATACACTTATAATCTTAAATGTTAAAAAAATAACGCGACACACATATACATCAATAATTTTAATCATCACTACGTAAAAGCGTCATATAAACATCGCATAAAGTTGAAAGACTTCCTATTTAATCGATTGATTATCGACAGTGCGACAAAAACAGCACGAATTCAACTCCTATACACTATGTAAAGTGTCTACGTTTTATACGGACTTTGCAAGTATTTCTTTTCTGAGATTTGTTTCCCAAAAATGTGAGATTTCCTTCAGCGATCTCAATGAGCACGTGGATAATCAATCCTACTGATTACGATTATCAGACTTTTAGTCACCTAGAACTTTTTCCTTAAAATGACCCATATTAATATGGAAATCTAATGAATGTTAGAAATAACCACCAAGAACAGTGTAGCTAGTCACCATTCTCTGTCATCTGCTTTGATGTCGCTATGACTCATGATGAGAAGTAGAAGAACAGAAAATCTAAAATAGACTAGGATCCTTGACGCCAGTTCCATATGATGTGTAGATCTGCTTTTACCTCAATCATTTAAAAAAAAGTCACGGCGTCCCTCCGGATACTTTGTGGTATTCAGTAGTTATACCGTCATTGGCAAGTCAGTAATGTGAGAGTTTTCTAAAAAAAATATTTTTTGACTATATTTCTACAGCTATGGCACCACACACGGAACAAAAAGAGTTTTCCAATCAACTGTAGTTTTTTTTTTTTGGTTTTTTTTCGCCCAAAACGTCTAGCCCAATGAGCACAGCTACGAAGGAGGACGTCTAGTTTGGGTGGAATTGAAGATTCTTTTGAAGAAAAATTCGATTAAAGAGCCAGGCAAGAGCAAAAACACCATAAAAATTTCTGAAAGATCCTAGTAAAACTCTCTAAAAAACCCTCAACAATCTGATGAAAAAAGCAAGACATTGTAAGCAGTGTCAAACTTGAAAGTCGAATTCAATCGAAGTTCCGAATTTCAACTGAAATTTCAAGTTTCAAGTTCAAGTTTCAACTTTCAAGTTTTCGGATAATCAACGCCTGGAATGCCAGCAGAATTACCTAACATCGACAAGAATTATCTGGAATCCTACTCGCATCATCTGGCATGCTACAGGGATTATCTAGAATGCTACAAGCATCACCTAAGATGCTACAGACATCACCAGGAATCCTATAACCATCACCTAAGACGACACAAGCATCGCCTAATATGCTACAAGTTTTGGTTGAGATGCTTTAAACATTATCTGGGACGCTACAAGAAGTATATGACAAGCTCGAACTACCCTGCCAGACTGAGTGGGAATAGCGGTGTACACAGAGACGTGCATGGGTCACGGCTCTTTGGGGGACGCTTCGCGCCCACACACTGCCACACTGGTATAAAGGTGTGTTAGGCGGGGAAAAGCGCTCCTTCAATGAATATTCCAGCAGCATGGAAGTTGAAAGTTGAAAGTTGAAAGTTGAAAGTTGAATTCAAGTTTCAAGTTTTACATATATGCGATATAAAAGAAGGGTACCTGAGTACTATCATTCCTTTGTCTCTTCATTTAGAACCAGAAAAAACAAAAAAGAATGGGCGATTTTTTCAATAATCTTCTGGGTTTGGACGATGCTGTTCAGCAGCTAACGACCAGTATCGCGAAAGCCGTCAATTCAACTCAGCAAGCTGGCTTTAAAATGCTTGACACTTTTAACGATATACTGGGCAGCAATCGAGAAAAACTTGTTAACGACACTAAGCAGAGTGTGCCAGGGTTTCTCTCTCAAGCAGGCAACAAAGCAAAAGAGAGTGCAAACGAAATCATTGCAAATTTTGGTCAAACTTTGTCAAGCACTGCTGAATTGGCTATTGGACGTGCTAAAAATGCCACCACCACTGTGGTCAATGAGACGCTGGAGAAGATTCGATACGAGATCAAGATGGTCTTAAACGACGTCATCGATAATCAATTGATCATGATTATTGGCACATATCTTATCATCATCTTGTTATTGATATTGGGCTGTTTGCTTTTGCATATCCACACTGCTCATAACCGTTGCACTCAAGGTGTTAAGGTTATGATGAATATGATCTTGATTCTCGTTTATCCACTTCTATGCATGTTCTATGGCTTGACTCTAGTGTGGCTTGCTCAAGAATCTATGAAGAAAAGCCCAGTCCATATTATTTGGTTTGTCATCGCATTATCACCCGGCATCTATTTGTTCTGCTATTTCACTTGTTGGAATACGATGCAATCGTTAAGAAAATGGACATACCTGGCAATCAGCAAGCATTGGGAAACTGGAACAAAGAAGCGTAAAGATTCGACGTCACTGCACAACAAAGATACTGCCCCGACGGTCACTTTTACACTCTCAGACACATATTAACCCAGTTTCTTTGCTACTCCTCGTTTTCTAAGAAGCCTCTGTGTTGTCTATCCATTTAATTCTATACCTTCTATGCTATAATTTTGATATCTGTACCGCTTCTGTGTGAGCTTGTCATACATATTTTCCAACATTAATATGTGCGGGTATGGAAATTGGTTCGAATTTGTGTTGGTGCCACAGAAACTGCTAATAGGTTGTTTTTGGAAGTCCTTATAATGAATGGGTATGCGCATCTGAGTAAATCTTCTCCTCTTTCATGCGAGCATCCTCATCTCACACTCATCCACACCCTATAAATTTTAGGTCAACTCAGGTCATTGTTAGAGTTACATACAAATAACAATAAGAGACAAAGTATCAAAGCATGACAATTCTGTAACTCATTGTATTACATTATACAAAATGATTCAAATATGTAATGCAAGGTACAAAAGTCTTGACCATAATGTCAGAACTTATCTCTCAGCGATCTACTTCCATTAACTACTCTACCAAAGACATAGAAACGCCTCACGGTCATACATTCTATTCATAAATATCACTATCTTCCTTTCCAGTGATTCTAACTGCAAAAATTAAAATATGGCTTCAAAGATGTGAACATGCGTGAAGAGATAAGCCACATTCACAACCATAATGGTTTCTAAACATGCTCCATGAGTCCATTCAGCAAGAAGAAAATGTCGTGCGATACTTTGAATATAATTTCTGATCTTCTATTTAATTAATATAACACCCACACCCTGAAAGAAAGGTTTGACTGAGATAGTGGGTGTCTAAAAAAAATGGATTTCTAGTTGTTTGCTATGTGTTTGTTTTTGTGTAAACAATACAGTTGAGGAATTCATGTAAAAAAATTGGATTCAGAATCAGATTAAAAGTCGATTATAATGGCACTATTATAACCTGATTTTAATCAGATTTTTCAGATTCAAATGACAAATTTTATTTGATTTTGATTTTTTTAATCTATTTTAATCGATTACCTACAATGACTATAATAATAGCTGCCAAACAATCAAAATCAAATAAAATTTGTCATTTAAAGCTGAAAAATCTGATTTAAATCAGGTTATAATAGTGCCATCATAATCGATTTTTAACCTGATTCTTAATCCAAATATTTTACATGAGAAACACTACAGCAGAAAAGAAGCATGGATTATAAAAAGAGAGACGTACACAAAGATATAATGACAAAAAAATGGATAAATACAAAAGGGATACATGGTTGTTCCGAGGTAATCCAGATTGAGAGGGTGGAATTCACTTTTGCTCATTGTGTTACAAAAAATACTTGCGACATAGAAACATCTTATAATATGAAAAAAAATTGGTTTTTCTACCTTCCTTCATTTTGAGGAAGAAAACTGTCATTGTATGGAGTCAAAAAAGTCTCTAGGTATGTCTAACGTTGAAGGCGTTTACATCAGCGACTATTGATGGAAACGATATTTTATAGAATGCAGCATTAATAGAAACTTCCAAGAAATAGGTTTTAACCCCTCAAGATACGGTTAGGCTTATACAATTGATACCATTCATGCAAGCGAAATTGCTTTGTCGGCAGGTCTAAATTCTATTTCAGTGTTGTTGCGTTCCAAAAGCTAAATGGTCGTTGAATGAAACCATTGATATTTGTTTAAAAGTTTTTTTGCCGTCGAAGGCGGCCGCGCTCGTGCCCATTTATTAAATAAAACTCTTACGCATAAAAAATACTATAAGAAAATGTTTAAATGATATATCAGACTTCTTAGGTCAGTTATAATTGTAAAGTTCTCACTTTTTCGCGAACCGAAAAATTTTTTTCACTTTATATCTTGTTTGATATAGACTTATTTAATTCAATACTTTTTGCCAAAGAGTTAGTAAACTTCTACTTCATGTCTGTTTTCGCTCTTTTTACTAGTGAAAATAACGAAAACTTCCAAGTATTGGTGGAAGGGGGCGTTATCATAGAGGATTTCAAGAGCAGGGGAGCGTAGCGCGCCACGCCCCCTTCCCTCCTATTTACTCCCCTGCACTGAAAAAAAATGGTACGATACCGAACCAAAAAAGGTACTTTGAACGAAAAAAAGGTTTCGTACATAGTACGGAACCTAAAAAGGTTTTGAATTCGTTGCAATTCTCTGAACCATTTTAGGTTCGGTATAGACCACTTCGAAAAACTTGAAAAAGTGTCCTGAGTCAATGACAATCAGTTTTAGTCACCCAAAGTTTTGTACGAAACCTTTTGAGGGTTTCGTATTGTCTTCCTAAATGGTTCCGTAAACATACAAATTTTTTTGCAGCGTACCGAACCATTTAGGAAGACAATACGAAACCCTCAAAAGGTTTCGTACAAAACTTTGGGTGACTAAAATTGATTGTCATTGACTCAGGACACTTTTTCAAGTTTTTCGAAGTGGTCTATACCGAACCTAAAATGGTTCAGAGAATTGCAACGAATTTGAAACCTTTTTCGGTTCCGTACTATGTACGAAACCCTTTTTTGGTTCGGTATCGTACCATTTTTTTTCAGTGTGGTAGTTATGATATAGAATCTAGAAAGGCATATAGGCCGCTAGAACCAATATATTCAGAACTAGCGCAGTGAACTGCATACAATCATATTTTTCAAAATCACGTTTCATTATTACAATAAAAGATTGAGAAGAACAACAAAATGAAGCAAGTAAACAAATAATTGATAGAAGGTGCTTGAATGTATTGATAAATCAATATTTTTACGTGGAATGTTCATTTTGTACATTATTAATTTCGATAGATGTTGATCTTGTTAGAGTATTAGGATCAAGATTATTTATACCATAAATAACTTGTGCTGATGGAACATAGATTTTAGCTCGATCAATATTATCTCTTGAATCATCAAAGAAAATTGCTGGATTGATTGATTGTAAAAATGGTGTCTTATCTAATCCACCTAAGAAATGTGTTTCATCGATTTCAAGACCCCATTCTTTAAGAGTATGAAATACTCTTATGTTACCTACGTCATTACGAGCAGTAACTAAAAATGTACGTACTCGCCATTTATGATTCTCTCCAAGTGATTGACGAAGTTTTTGTAATTTAAGAGCAAATGCTTGCATTGGACCTTTGGGTAAAGCAATATGTCCATGTTTACGTTCGAATTCAAAAAATCCTTCAAGTCCTTCTGTTTTAAAGACACGTTCTGCTTGATCGGAGAAAAGTACACCATCTCCATCGAAAGCAATACGAACTTGACCTTCGGGCCATGATAAAGAAGCCAATGGAGCAGATAAATCAGAATTAGTTGATGTATTTACTTCAGTAGGCAATATCGTTATGTTAATATTCGAATCAGATTGTTGAATTTGAGGTGATTCAGATACTACTATTCCATTAGAAGAGATAGTTGGTGTTGTGTTTACTATATTGCATACTAGTGCAGCTGCAATGCCTGTAAATGCTTCAGAACTAGTACCAGACAATACTGTACGTACTTGATCTTCGTCTGCAGTAAGAAAAAGATCACATTTCCAAGCCGACAAATATTTTGTAACATCTGTACCACCGGTAAATGACATACGTGTGATAGGTAGTTTGTAATAATAGATAGATTGTCGTACTCGTTCTCCAGAATCACTATCTTTTCGAGAAACTAGTACAACTTCGACCAATTGTTTTTTAGCAGCTTCATTCAATGCTAACAGCGATCGAACAAGAGGATAACCAACGCCGGGTTGAAGAGGTACCATAAGATTAGCACGTTGATGTTCTTTATATGCTTCAAATCCATCACGTTTCCAAATTTCACGCGATTCAGTACAATCGAAAAGTGCTGAAGATGTTATACACACGACTAGTTCGAATGTTGGCGGCATGACAATTGATTTGGTCTAATCGTATTTGTAATAATGTAGGAAAAAAACAATATAATAACCGATCGCTTTTGAAAATATCTATAAGAAATATTATAAAAAATTTATCTTGATCTTATTATGGGTTTTCATTTTCAACTGAATCAAGTCTTTGACAGATGTCTAATCTTTTTTTCCCATGAATAATGTTACCACGGAAAAATGATTCGAACATTCGATTTTCTAATTTCACACAAGGATCACTTGAAAGATTTCAAGAAATACTCATGTTTCTTTTTCAATCGAACTTTTTAGACATCCTGCATATATATATATATATATATATCTTTTTGACATAATAAACATGAGAAAGAGATGATGTTACTCTCAGTATGGATGTTCACTGCACTATTCCATCACTCAATTGGTGTACACTTCATATATGCAAAAGAACGAGCGAGGGAGAAAAGAGAAAATATTGAATAGATGATTGAGAGAGCAGACAGCTATTATTGCTAATCAGGTCAGAGTGTCTTGGTGAATGTTGATCGAACGCTCTCGCATCATTAAACAAATACGATATGAAACAATGACGTGTCATAATTATTGATACAGTCAGGTTAAAGATGTAAAAATGCACAATGTACAAAGATTGCATGATGACATACAAAACAGAAAACATAATAATATATCTAAAATAATGATCTTTACAATCATATTTCTATCTTCAGAGAGACATTGTTTAGTAAAATCTGGTAGAAATTTAATAGATATCCGACTAGATTTCAGAGTTTTTTTTTACAGTTTCATATGATACATGCAAAACTTTTCCTATGTCTCAGTGTTACATGATATATAAATAAAAGAAGAATAAGAAATTTTAAAAAATGCAACGAAGTTTGTCCTTGAAATAATAAAGAGTCTAAAAAAAATAAATGTACTCTATCTTCAGGCTACTATATTTTTCGATAGTGTATCAATGTGAAAAAAAATTAAGCAGAAATGTATTAATATTAATCTATTCAGCGTGTACCAATAATTCCATAACTACTTGTTAAAATCATAAACCGCTAAGTAAAATATGTGCAACGATATTTTTAACAAATCAGATACTTACCTTTTTGTAAAATAATCTTTAGTGAATGACAACTAGCAAGCAATATCTTTGAGAACAAGACTTCTACAACAGCTTGTGCTAGTCACATACGACTAAATGTAATTGAAGAACAAAAAAGTTTCATATATTTTTTTTCTTTCTCTCGCAGAATGTCATTCACCCAAAAATAATACTGCTATGGAAAAAAAATTCTTCGAGCAATACCCACGTTATTTGATCGTTCTGTTCTTTTATTTACAATAGTGCATTGGTGGTTGTTCTTGTGTAGAGCAGCCGAAGAGAACTCGACGAGTGCAAAAAATAAGAATATTTTATCGATCGTGATAGATGATGAAGTGCTTATGTCAATTATAAGAATGCATCTTGAGAGTAATGAAAGAAAAAGTAAATCGTGCTTGTTCTAGGATGAATGAAAATTTCTTTTCAATACAAAATTGAAACTCATTGTCCACGATGTTGTTTTCTTCATTGATATTCTATTAGTTTTCAGACAATTCAATGCCTTTCTAAAACATTCAAAAGAAAGCCGTATCGGGGCATTAATGAATTTGCAGAGAGATCTATAGACAACATCAAATCTTCAACTCTCTAGAATGTCATTTAGGGTATTCTAGGTACAAACTATTGAATAGTTTGTTTTTTTCTATTACTATAGACTATATCCTGCAGGGAAATAACATATCTCTTTTCCAATCGTTTGGAAAATTATTTTATTTTCTTGTATTCTCTTCCTAGAAGTAGATAAACGTTTGTGCAACATCTGGAAAAACATACATACAAAAAAAAGAATAATATTACAAACAATTGGAAAAAATTATGTGGTTGACCTATAATAATGGACTTATAGAGATCATCAGTCTAATGGTACATTATCATTCAGTCGAAATAGTCAGTGGACAAATCAGGATGAGTCATCGAATTAATAGCAAATTTCGAACACACTAATGCACTTAGTAGTGCACCATTTGTGCCAATTTTTAGAAGGTTTTTCTTGGTGTCATTTTGTTCCTAAAAATGAGCTAGACCTTCTAGTGTAATTAGATTTTTCGGCCTAAGAGCCGTTTCCGAGAAAATCGAAGTTTCTGTAGACCAATCGTGAATCAACCAATCAGAATGTTCTATAGCTGATGAGCTGCACTTTTTTGGCTACCCATGTCGATAGGACACGCTACCGACACATGTGTCGACACAATTGTGTCGACACATGAAGTATTGTCACGTTTTGACACAGTGTCATGGTGTGTCGACACATGTACGTAACGTGTGTCATGATGTGTCAACACATGTACGGCCGTTGTGTCATACGTGTGTCAGTGTCATTTTTCTAATAATTCTATTGGTCTATTTTCTGTCGCTAGCAGTCAGCCAATAGACATTGGTGATGACTAACCCTTTCCCTGTCTCTCGATTTCTTTTCCTGTACTTTTATGATTTCAAGCCAGAATTATTTACCAAATACTTTAATTTTATTTAAAAAAAGAACATGAAAAAATACAAAAAACGTATATACAATAATTATTTTATAGATGTGTTTCTTGTTAGTTTTTTTATTATTAAAGAAAGTAGAAAAACGTCCTTAGAATAAAATAAATAACATAATAAAAAAGTGTCTATACAATAAAATAAAAATAGCAAGAAAAGTATATAAAATTTTATTTCTATAAAAATTTTTCTTATTTTTTCTTTTTATTGTATCTACATTTTTTCTTCTTATTTTATTTGACTTTATGATTTAGACATGTTTTTTATTATTTCGTTTTATTGTATAGATATTTCAGTACTTTTTGCATTATTCTATAGACTATTTTTCTTATCATTTCTTTTATTATTAATAAAAAAAAAATCACTGGACAAAGTCTATAGAATGAAGCTAAAAATAATAGAAAATCTATTATTTTTAAAACGAAATAGTAAAAAACATGTCTAAATCATAAAGTCAAATAAAATAAGAAGAAAAATTGTAGATACAATAAAAAGAAAAAATAAGAAAAATTTTTATAGAATTAATATTTTATATACTTTTCTTGCTATTTTTATTTTATTGTATAAACACTTTTTTTTATTATGTTATTTATTTTATTCTAAAGACGTTTTTCTACTTTCTTTAATAATAAAAAAAACTAACAAGAAAAACGTCTATAAAATAAAATAAAAAAAAATAAGAAAAAATCAAGAGAATAAAATAACATAATAAAAAAAGTATACAAAAAAAAAATAAAAATAGTGTATACAAAAAAAATCAAAACACATGTACATAATAAAATAAAATGATAGAAAAATTGTCGATACAGAAAAATTAAAAATAATATGAACATCTATACAGTCAAAGCAGTTAAAAATTCTATAAAATAGACTTACCATTGTAAAAATAAATTTAAAAAAAATTTTTTCTTCATTGTGGAAGTTTGTTTGAGATTGACATGAGCACGATAAGGCTTAATTAATCTACAACAAAATAAAACAATAATTCATCTAAAAGAGAAATAATAATTTCGTTTAGAACATGTGACAAAATAGTCCCTAATTTATTTTCAAGTCTAAAAATACATAAAAAAATTATTTTGAAAAGGTACAAAAATAAATAAATAATATAACTGAAAAAACTTTAAAAAAATAAGACAATTAATCAATTTAAAACATGTATAACAATAGATAATGCATTAATAAAAAAATCAGAAAAACTAATAATTTCATTTAAAAAATTCATACTGGTGTATAACATTTTATTTTAAAAAATCTAAAAAAAAGACAATAAATCAGGTTAAAAATTTACAAAAATAGATAATAAATTAATAAGAAGGTCTGAAAAAAAAATAATAATTTGATTTAAAATATCGATAGTAATGCATAATTTTTCTTTTTAAATTAGAAAAATAGATAAATTAATTTAGAAGTTAAAAAAATGATAATAATTTAATTTTAAAAAAAATACCCAACTTAATCCTATATATACAATCGTTTTTTTTTCTTTCCTGTATTATAGTCCATGATATATCCTTCGTTGTCCAAGACACGTTACCGACACATGTGTCGACACATGAC